CTAAACCAGTGGTCCCCAACTTTTTTAATGCCAGGGACCGGTTTTGTTGAAGACAATTCTTCCAAGGACCAGGGTATGTGTGCTGCTGCCAGCATCCATGAAGGGGTGTGTGTGGGGGTGTCCATGCATGGGGGTACTTGTTATGCAGTAGTATTGGACTGCCAAAAAGACCAACAAGCGGGTCCAATATCAAATCAAGCCTGAAGTTTCTTGGGAAGTTAAAATCATGAAACTGAGGCTGTCCTACTTGGGGTGCCTCATGAGAAGGCGTGGGGTGTTCTTTGGAAAAGGCAATGATGCTGGGAAAGGTGGAAGGCAGCAGGAGAAGAGGAAATCCAAATATGAGATGGACTGACTCCCTTAAGGAAGCCATCGGGTTGAGTTTATAAGATGTGGGCAGGGCTGCTGAGGGCAGCGCATTCTGGGCATTCACAGGGTCACCCTAAGTTTCTGGAGGGGGCCACTTGAGGGCACCCAACAGCAACAGCTTCAGCAACCAGAACCATTACCCCCACACACTTCACCGGGGGTGTGAGAAGCAGTAGCACAAGTGGGATTTTGCACTCCGCAGAACCCCCGCCCCAGAACGCCTCCTGCTCCTTGGCCGGTCTTCGGTTTTCTCCTGGTGGGAGGAGGCTGGGCCTTGGGACCAAGCGCAGGGGGAAGAGTTTTCAACGGGGCGCTTCCTGCCTGCTGACAGGCGTGGTGGGGCCCACTTGGAGGACACCTTGTGGGGCGGATGAGCAGCCTTTGTATGGCTGTCGTTGCACTGGGCGCTGCTTCACAGGAGAGCCCCGATGGGCATTGAAGGAAGGCTAGCTGGTCCCAACTGAACCTGAGGGGTGGTGGTCTCGTGCCTCTTTTCCTCCTTCCTCCCTCTCTCCCCCTTTGCATACCCTTCTGCCACCAGGTGCTTCGCTGTCCCAGCGGAGAGAGAGATGGATGGATGGAGGAAAATACTGGGTCTCCTGCTGCTGCTGGGCTTCAGCACAGGCCTCCTCGCCTACTACTGGGCATGCGTCCCCAAGGTCAGCACCGCGGTGGTGGCAGCCCCGAAGCCTCTTGGGCAAGAGCGATGGGACGGGGCGAGGGCAGGGGTCTGGAGCAACCTTCCAGCAAAACAGGGAGTGACTGGCTTGCTGCCCCTGCCAGGGCTCATCCTCTGGGTGCATGCAGAGTGCCGCGGGTTAACCCCCAAGGGGAGGGAGCAGGATGCGGGCGGGGTGAGCTGGATGGCAGCGGCCCTTCTTTTCTCCAAACCCTGAAGCTCCCCAGCTATAGGGCGACACGCGTTGCTGGGAGGGCCTGCAGGAGGGAAGGCAGCTCCCCCAGGTGCTCCTCAGGTGGGTTTGTTCCGTTGTCAAAGGCACTTTATGACCCTCCATGTGCACCAAACAAGGTTTAGTAAACAGCCCAGATAACACTGTTGAAGTAGCTGGCTTTTGGTCTGGTTTATGTTTCTTTGAACTTTACATTTCATATACTGTCATGATTTTAAATTGTGCAACGCCCTGAGATGAATAAAGAGAAAAGCAGCAGACAGGAAGCAAAGCGCTGGGCTTCAGGCCCTCTGTGCGTGCCCAAAGACTTCACCCCCTCAGCTCCCAAGTGCCCTGCTTGCCGGCTGCTCCTGCAAATCATTTTGGGCGCT